CGACGCCTCCGCCGTTTTGAACACGACGTGGTATTCTATCCACAACAAAATGGTGACCCCGACGTGCGGCGAGGTGATGCGGCCTACACTGAATTGGATCGAGGTGGCTTGCGGTGCACACAGAGAGAGGAACTGGGCCCATTACTTTCAGGTAAGCTGGTTAACTGTTTGGACCTTAAGGTCCGGAGTTTCTGGCTTTTCGGCTGTAAACTAAATTTAAACTAAATTCAACTTCCTCTGTTTGTGTGCATGCGGCCATCTCCGGAAAATAAAGATGGTTTTATTTAAGATAACTCCCGGTAATTCGTGTTAATTCTGACGAGATGGATTACGATATTCAGACGGTTTTAGCGCCGAACGCTTACTTAGTCATTTTTAGGTAGTTTTCACAAGTTTTGTGGACTTGTGCCGGTGGACGGCGGAAGGCCTACCGGAAGTCACGTGGGTGACAACGTTTTCTCTCAATATTCAGCGGGATTGGCCATCCAAAACTTTAAGTCTGACGGGACTAAGGTCCAACGCTTTTCACAAAAGTCTGCGGGGGCTGAGGGTCGGGACTCCTCTGGCCAGTGTTGACTGCCGCCTAAACTGGACCCCATTTTTTTTACTTTAGCTTTGAGAGAAAATGAGTGAAATAGCATAGAGTATTTACCAAATTTCATGTGATCGGGGATCGCATTAGTTTTAGGACGTTGTAATAACTTTGTTTGAGCCGTGTTTTGTATGTCGTGTGAACGCTTCAAGGGGGACGCGTTGGGAGAGACGTAACAAAAAAAAGAGTGAGGGGGGAGTGAGCTGTGTGTGGGCGGAAGCTCAGGGTTGCTTTTCTCTTTTTTCTGTGTGTCGAAGAAAGTCTGCTTGGAGCATGTGTGTGGTAAAGCACTCGTGTGGGGGAAGGGAGCGTTTCTTTGTTCCAACCGCACGAGGAGGTGAAGGTTTACGCGTGTTTTGTTTTGTCTTCGTTTCTGCGTCAGAGGTGTCTGGTGTGATCGGTGCTTCTGTATCCTGACCGGAAGGGGGCGCTGCTGTGAGGCAAGGACGGGTCTGGCCGCTGGGTTGTTCCGTACCAGACTTGTGTTTGTTTCATTACGGCTGCAGCCAGGAGTGAATGACAATAACATATTTGAATGCCTGGGTGTGTGAATGTTGTTATCAGGTGTGGATCTCATGAATGTGGTACAGGTGAAGCCTGTGGAAAATCTATAGGATCATATCAGAGGCAAATTGCATGACTTATAGGGAGTATCAAAATGAACAGGAGGTAATTAGTTTTAGATCAGGGGGCCACTAGCACAAACAAGCGGAAATGAGCTTTATGTACCAAAATTAAGGGGGTAGAGCTTGATTTTTAATGATTTAGGCTGTACAAGTTGGATTAATTTAAAAATATAGCTGATTGGCGTGTCACAGCTAAATGGTATCTGATATGGGAACAGGGATAGCTGAAGATCTTTCAAATATTTGCTGATAGCCGTCGGAGGCCAGACAGAAACGGAGTTGGGAGCAGACACAAGGTTAAACGAAACAATTTTCTGTATGATAGGAAGGAGGCAGTGAACTCTGAAATAGAGAATGGTTTGAATCTCAAGGAAAGAGGGGACATCACGTGTACGAGCTGTATTTAACCAGGAGATGGAGTCAGAGTGAGTCAGCTGGAGAAGGTTGAATCATCTTGGAGTCAGCTTAGACGGTAGAGGGTTGAGATGTCAAAGCGAACGGGTGGAAGAGAAATATTGTAGAGGTGGTCTTGGTGGTACTGAACAAATTAGATTAACTTTCTTCTTGGAATTGACAATAAACTCAGGTTTTAAACTCAACTGCAAAACAACAGAATAAAATGAGTAATGGCCAAAATCCTTGACACTTGTAAAATATAGAATTTTATTCTGGTCAAACAATACCTTACTGGACTCAAATTGAAAAGGTTAAATACGTTAGGAAACTAAACTCAAATTGAAAAAATTAGATTAAATTATACAGCCATAACTACACTCAAATTGTAAATACTTGGGTTAAATAAATAAATCTTAATTGTACTCGAATTGAAAAACTTCAGTTTAAGTAATCAGTCCACATGAGTTGATCACATATTGGAAATGTTTAGCATTTAGGAGCTGTTTCCTTCTAAGAGCTGCAGGGACTAGGTTATTTATGGGACGACGACAATTCTAGTGGGTAAACGCCATGAATTTAACTTTATTATTTGAGACTTCACACAGGTCCTGGGAGTGCAAAAGGACAACAGAGAGGTGTACATGGTGAGTTTAAGAAGTTGTACTTTGTGAACATAGGGCATGTACACGTTTTTGTGCAGTGATAATGGACTCGGTGATGTCTTGAAGGGTATACATAGTCTTAATTGATTTGTATTAAAAGTATCTTGTTTGTGATACAGTGGGAAAGCATAGTTATGAGAAGAGATGGTTTGCAGATTGGTTATATAACAATAAGTGATTACATATTAACATGCTGCCTAAATTTACAAGGTCTGGACGATAATGTGGCCCTGGGAGTGGTCTTCACTGTCAGGTGATGTGTCAACACACATACTCTACAAGATGGAGGACATTGTTTGGAGGGGAATATTTTATGCAGTAGGCGTAAAGAATTGGCTTGTGCAGTGTTTAATGAAAGCTTTCACTCTTGTGTAATTGAGCGGTTAAAACATCTATTGTACATTCCAGGACACCAGAATGACTCCGTTGGGGTAAACGCTGTGGTTCCAGAATAAAACTTGCTAACTAACGATTAATGTGGATAACACATGAATGTTGAATCTGGTTTTAATAATTTGATTATTTTTTTCTTCTCTGCAGCTGGAGATGACAGAACTTTGGAGTGGGAAGATGAGTCTAATTACGCCCACAAAACATAGAAGGTAGCATTTAACTGCATACAGCATCCATCTGAGTTTTGATCAGGACTCTCGAGTGCCGGGGGCCGGATCGGATACAAATGTGTTCAGGCGGGCGCTGACGTTGGGTCTGTGAAACTGACCGATGGGACGGTTCGAATAAGTTGTCAGTCGAGCACAACTGACAAAACAACAAAGAACTTTTCAGCCAAGTAACGTGACTTTTCAAAGATCTAACAGTCCAAGAGCGAACTGACCTAACTGTCCAGAGGGGGTGATGGAGTTTGTACACAGCAAGAACATCCAGTCAAGACTTGCTGTATGCTGAGATATGAACTGCTGCACAAAGCTGAGCTGGTCTCCAAACAGACGGGAGACGAATCTGGGGACATAAAGGCTGAACGAAGAACTGGTGGTCACTCTGCCCAGGGTCACTAACATCAACTGCAGCCGGACGGAGGTGTCAACCCCACATTTTGGTCTGTGATGGTCATCTAAGCACTTTGGGGTCGTGATCAAAAACTGCAGCTGGCTTTGATAATAATCATTCACATAGACTCATTTTAAAACAGGTGACACAACAGGACACGGACGTACAGAGGTGGGAGTGCTAGACGATTCGCCTGCTCCAACTGCTCTGAGATGGAAATTGTTTTATTACCTCAAATGCTCCACACCCCTGAACAAAATATTGATTTTAACTTTCTGTTTATACAGGTCAGGAAGTCTCATTCAGGAGAAACCTGAGACCTGATTTGGATGCAGTTCACTAATGTTTTCTAAAATAACACTGGATGATTGTCTTTGCCTTGAAGGGGCTAATTTTGGTGGGTCTGGTTTGATACAAGAGAAGAAATTTATTTAATGATTAACTTTTGCTAATTTATAGGAGAGCTTGGGTTGTGGTTGGGTAATTGTTTGCAAAACCTGGGTTGAATAACAGTAGTGGGAAGTTTAAAACTACACCATATTTTTAGTTCTGTGACTAATACTCAATCTGAGTGTTAGTGGATTGCAGACGGTAATGCTTCAGATTTGAAACAATGCCGTTTCAAAAAGGGGGGAGGTGTGTAGGCAGCTCTGAGCAGGAAGCAGTTCATAGATCATTACAAATTATACAAAATTAACTTCTTCTGAGGCGATTAAAAGATCATATCATGTAGGGTAATCAAATTGACAGTGGGAAATGAATAAATCAGAAACCTACATAACACGTTGCACTTGTATATATGTATATCGGTTTAACAGAAGTATCTTTTTCTCTTTGTTGTGATGTGTACAGATTCCAGAAAGGGGGACGCCCCTAGCCTGAGGTGGATTTGAGCAAATGTTAAAGGGAAATGGGGTGGTTTGACAATTTTAAACACAACTGACTTGACTGGACCGGACTGGACTTATAGTTTAATTGGGCGAATAAGAAAAGGTTTCATGAACAAAGGATTTTAACCATTTTTTCCTCGTTCTCTTTCTCTTTTATTTTTTCCCCTTTCTCTCTGTTTCTTCCTTGCTATTTCTTCCCTTCTCTAGCACAGACAGGTACCTGGATGGAAGATTAAATATTTTTTTTCTCTCACAGTGTTGTATGTCAGTTGGTTAAACTTTTAAGTTTATATTGTATTTTGATTGATGCTGTTGGCGCAAGCGATTTAATGAAGTTTCTTCCACAGGCTCCAGGAAGAGGGGCCGGCGTGGATGATTATTATTGTTATTGTTGTATTGTGTATGTTTAATTTTAATTGTAGGTAGACCGGTTGACGACGAAGGCTTGTAAGGGTGACAGATGGGATGAGAGCACACAGGTATACCTGGAGAAGTCCAGTATGTAACACAATTCAGCTTCAAGTGAACAGATGCATGTAAGAAGAGCATTTTATTTTAGTTTTACTAATTCTGTTTTAGGATAACATTACAGTTTAATAATACACCTATCAATAGCAATAATAACCATCAGGGTGCCCAATAATTCAGAAAATAGGTTTTATTCACTACAGAAGTAACCACAGTCAGTTTTTCCAGGCCCAGGTCATGGATCCCACAGATAAAATAATCAAAAGGCCATGCAGGGTGTTTAACAATTCGCGAGCTTTCGTGTCCAGCTTTTCTCATCAGGAGGGAGGAACTCTGACCGAGGAGACAAACTCACATCAGACTGAGTCCTGCTGAAAAGAGGGACAGGACAAGACCCCACCAGGTGGTGGACAGAACATCATATGTCATCGGTCCCCAGAAGGAGAGTGGCACCTGTACGACCCCACCAGGGCATCCCTGCAGAGGAGAGGAATCGATCGCTGGTCCACATGGAGGATGATCTGAAGACAGCTCCCCACTACACCTGGAGGAGGTGACAGGACCTTCGTGGGAGCTCATTCTTTGCCCCTTTGTTCTGGTTGGAAAAAGGCAGTAGCAAACATCGGAGAAGAAGTCTCCGCTCTGCCTGAAGTCGGTCGGGTGGATCGGGTAAGGACGGAAGATTACCAGCCCTGACCGTGAAGAACAGAAGACGCGTCAAACTGATTTTAGTTTTGTCCCAATACACACACGTCATTTAGAATGTTTAATCAAACTGATACGGTTCTGAGGACTTTACATGAAGATAACTCCGCGGGCCGAATCCCGCCGAGCACCAAAGGACCCTTGTGGACGAACAAGGGCTCCCGCCGCAAGCTCAAGAACCGAAGACCTGCTAGATAGAAATGTTTCAATTAAGGGTGTTGGCTTTTCCTGTTTAATATGAGTATTTTGTCTTACCTTTCAGTCATTCTGAAAAACACCCAGAGAAGGGTCGTGGATTCAATTGGAAACTTAACTATACATTTAACTTGACTATAAACTTAACTTGACTATTAACTCAAATATTCAGTAACTTAAATATTCAAATATTTTACTCCATTCAATTAGGCATTAATCATTCTAAAATACCACGAGGTATTTTAAAGGTGGTTTAAAATAGAGTTTCACTTATTTATCTTTCTCTAGGAGGGGTGTTGCTGCTTTTTTGTATTTTTATAAAGGTTTATGTGTGTGGTACTTTTCACAGGTGTTGGATCAGGGGTCTGGTCCAGGACCCCTGGGGAGTGCAGTAAGTTTGCGTCACATCCATATTGATAAATAAATCCATAAAGAGGGTGAACTCCCATGAATATGGGAGTTCAAAAGAGGGAATGTTGGATTTAATATTTTATACCTTTTTATAATTCCTATCAAGCACT